TATATATATATATATATATATATATGTGTATATAATTTAAAAAAATGCTACTAGAAGAAAATACACCAAAATATTAACAATATTCCAAGCAGTAAAATTATGGGATATTTTCTTTTCTTCTTTATTCTTTTTATTATTTTCCTTCTCACCTTTTATCATCTTGCCCTCCCTTGTGACCTTCATTCTTTGAAGATCCTTTTATTTGCCAAATCATAGTTAGAGTGTCAAACAAATGGATATGAACCCATATAGCAGCTAGTCAAGTGGGGGACAAGGGGACAAGTCACCATCTATTACTGTTTCTCCCACTATTGCATCTGCGGCTGCCCTGGAGAGGAGAGAAACCCTTCCTTCTCTGACAAGGTAGGGTGAACCCTTAACACTCTGCATTTTAATGAAGAAATCCCACTTGTCTACCCTAGGCCCAGGTTCAGCCAGCCCCTTGTTTCATAGTCATTTTTTTTTGTTTAACTGAGCTAGACTGGTTAAGTAAACTGGTGGATGTTTTCATACAAGTAACAAGAGTGTGGTTTTTTCCAATTGCAGAACCTAAAGGAGCTGGTGCTGGTGGCGCCGGTGGCTTTGGTGGTGGAGGTGGTGGCGGTGGATTTGGTGGAGGCGGCGGTGGCAGTGGTGGCGGCGGTAGCGGTTTTGGAGGAGGCGGACCACCTGGTTTGGGAGGACTGTTCCAGGCTGGAATGCCCAAGCTGAGATCCACGGCCAACAGGGATAATGGTAACCAGAATTTCCTTCTCTCTTAGTAACCGAAGACGGGCAGAGTTTGTTGGTTTGGCGGCTTGGCGTACTCTTCTAGGCTCTATACCCTTTAAAACATTTTAGATAGTTTTAAATGTTAACATTATTTTGTAAGAGAAACTCTATTTAGCATCATTCTTTGGGAAAAAAAAATCAGAATCAGGAGTTTTTTTGTTTTTTTAAATAACAACTCCATAGAGCTGTTACATATTTGTCCAGTGTCCCTGGGGTAACCTGTATTTTTTTTTTTTTCCCCCGAACTTTTCTAAAGGCTGAGCTAGAGTGGGAAGAAAAGGAAGGAGCAAAAGGAACTTGCTACCTCTGGAAACTCTGCCTGGTGACCTGGCAAATTCATCTTTCTTTGTGAGGTAGCCTGACCCAGCTGTCTAGTACAGTAAATACTTAGGAACCACTTTCCAAAAACCCTATGTAGCACTTCATATGGACTATAATTACAAACCCCACTAAATCTAAAATGGTGTCTTGTATGACAGACATTTGGTACTTCAGTGCCAGTGATTCTAAGTATTTTCTGCAGGGAGCCATGGAAATGAGTCCTACAAGATTGTCTGTGAACCTAATGGCAGAAAGAAAAGTTGAGCCTGGTCATGGCTAACTACAAAACTTAAGTGCAAGCACTTTCTCCTGGCTACTACTTTAGCTCAAGAAATTTTACCACAACACTAGTTGTTGTTTTTTTAATGTTTATCATGGTTAGAGGAATTTTATGCCTAATTCTGTAAGAGCAAAATCCTTTAAAATATCCACTGGCAAAGTGTGAGATGCTCACATTCATATGAAGACAGGATCACCAAATCCCAGCTCAGCTGACTATTTTACCACTATGTGGTCAAAATCTAGAAAGAGATGTGATAATGTGAGAGATTCTGTCTTGCCAGACCTGCCTTTAAATTTCAGTGAATTTATTTAAAACCCACCAAAAGCATTTGAGGTAGCTGATAAATCCCTACATCCAGTAGTTTAACAGTACGTGAAGAAATTAAAGTGAAAGAAAAATAGAAGTATTTAAATGAAGATAGAATTTAAGTTAGATAACAAAATGGTGTGCCAGAAGGTGTCATCTACATGTTAGGTAGACAGTAACTGCAGCTTTAATCTGAACTTCCTTGTCATCAAAGCTAAGAGGAAGATAAAACATATCACAAGTTGGTGACAGAGAAATATACCATGTACTCAATGAAAGCACAGCCTTTTCTAGTACTAAAGTCTAAATAAAAAAATTCTCTCTAGAGTTCCTGTTACTCCACTGTATAAATCCCTCCAAATGCTCTCATTGCACCTTGAATAAAATCCGAACTTCTGGCTCACAGGCTTTTTATGACTCAGCTCCTGCTGTCTACTTGAGCTCCGTATGATAAGCATCTTCTCCATGTTGTGCACAGACACACAGGCCTCCAGTTTTTGAACTTGCTAGCTCATTCCCACCTCAGAGCCTTTGCACCTGCTCTTGCCTCTGCAGCACCTTGCTTCCTAATCTTCCCATAACTGGCTCTTTTTTTTTTTTTTTCATGCCTCAGCTCAAATGTCACATCGTTAGAAGAGCCATCCCCACCACTTCATCTGTTCTGGTCTCTCTCCAAAAAACCAAATTCACTGCCATTGAGTCAATTCTGACTCATGATGACCACCATGGGGTCTCCAAGGTTTTAAATCTTTATGGAAGTAGATCACCTTATCTTCCTCCTATGGAGCAGCTGGTGGGTTTGAACCGCTGACCTTCTGGTTAGTAGCCAAAGCCTTACCACTGTGCCACCAGAGTTCCTTCCTGGTCTTTCTAAGCATCTTAGTTTAGTGTCCTTTTAGTACTTTAGGAGCTCTGGTGGCACAGTGCCTAAGGCATTTGACTGCTGTTTTCATTACCTAGTGCCACTCTGACAGGACTATACCACAAATGAGATGGCTTGAACAAACAGGAATTTATTCTCTTACAGTTTTGGATGCTTTATGTCTGAGTTCAAAGTGCTAGCCTCTAGGGGCTGGGTGAAAGCCCCTCAATCTTGGGCTTCAGTTCTGCCTCCTGCCCCCAGCCCACTGAAGCTGGAGGGAGACTTTTCTTCACTCAGATAGCTGCTAGCTGCTGAGGCTAAGTCCAAGGCTGGCAAATAAAAAGGCACAGTCCCAATGTTACCAGATAATATGGCAGGCCACTAATTCAAGTCCAGAGGTCCCAAGATCGGCAAGGCATGGCAAGCTATTGAAAAATGACTTGGCTGTATGCAGGGTTCCAGTGTACCATAAGCTGGAGACCTTCCTCAAAGTTGCTGTTTATATGCTGGAAGCAGCCCACATCCCTAAAGCAGCTACTCAACTGCTCCAGTAGATTCCACCATGGAGTTAACTACCCATCTCATCATGGGGAATAACTATATCTAGCTGCCCAGCCCCTCAACCAGGCCCAGCCAAGTTGACACACAAACTTAACTACCACAACTGCTACCAAGAAGGTTGGTAGTTCAAACCCACCAAGCATTCTGCAGAAGGAAGATGGGCCAATCTACTTCTGTAAAGATTTACCACCTCAGAAACTCAATGGTGTTGAGTGTGAGTCAGAATTGACTCAATGGCAGTGAGTTGGTTTTTTTTTTTTTTTTTAAGTTTAGTACTTGAAACTCAGAAAATCAGAAAATACTTGCTTACTGGCTTGTTTTTTTACCTGCCCAAGAAAATGTAAACTCCAGGAGAGCAGGATCTTTTCTATTAGGTTTCCTCCTCTACCTTTAGCATCTAGAATAAGGGCTAGCACATAGCAAGTACTCAATAAATATTTGAAGCATTAATTAGCTAATAGGAGCTCTGGTGGCATAGTGCCTAAGGCATTTGACTGCTAACCAGAAGGCTGGTGGTTCAAACCCACCAGCCACTCCTTGGAAGGAAGATTGGGTAATCTATTTCTGTGGAGATACTACCTTGGAAACCCAAGGAGGGGTCACTATGAGTCAGATCCAACTCGATGGCAGTGAGTTTGGCTTTTTTTTTTTTTTTTCCCTCCAATTAGCTAATGGCTCAAGCAGTAAACAATGTCTTAAGGCTAACCATTTTTTGAGAGTTAACTTGGGTTCTAAAAGATTCTGGAGCAGTAGTTTGAATTTTTCCATATCTTTGGTCTACCCCTTTAATGTCTCATTTTGTTAAACCAAATCAGTTTAATATTAATTATAAAATTGGGCTATTCTGTCTGCCAATGATGAAGTAGAAATTGACCCAGGAGGGAAAAAAATTGTATGATTGCCTACTTTTTTGCAGATTTATATAGTATACTGGTGTCAACTCTTTCTTTTCTTAGTTCTTTATTATTACATTCCTAACTCTTCCATTATATTTACTCATACATATTATTTTCTTGGAATAGGAAACCCTCGTGTATGGAACTTTATATTGGGATAACTGATTTTGATTCCTAAGAAGAGTGAATTATTTTTCAAACATGAGAAGTACAAAGGGCAGGGGGTTGTGGGGCTAGAGGGTGATAAACATTATCAGAAATCCCATGTACCAACATCTTCCTGTGCTTGAACTGTCAGAATGATAAGAGTTTCCTCCAGAATTCTTACAGACTTCATCCTGTTTCTTGTCCACGCATAATGCAAAGATATCTCTCCAAAATCCTCTTGAAATCTCATGGGTTGTAGAGCCTGGTCTCTCAGAGAGCTTATGGTCTATTCCTCTACCTTCAGGAAGGACCACACATAGCCTAATTCCTATAAATAGTTACCTGTATTTTGTAGCACTGTAAGAAAAGTAGTTGGGAATATACTCTAGTACTCTGATTTCCTTTAGTGTTCCTAATTTCTAACTGAATTTTTCCTCCTTGTTCTTCAGATTCTGGAGGAACCCGACCGCCAATTTTGCCACCTGGTGGAAGATCCACATCTGCCAAACCTTTTTCATCCCCAAGTGGCCCAGGAAGGTTTCCAGTGCCTTCTCCAGGCCACAGAAGTGGTCCCCCAGAGCCTCAGAGGAACCGGATGCCTCCTCCAAGGCCTGACGTGGGCTCAAAGCCTGATAGTGTCCCCCCTCCAGTACCTAATACGCCAAGGCCCATTCAATCAAGTCTGCACAACCGAGGCTCCCCACCAGTGCCTGGAGCACTCAGGCAGCCCAACCCTGGGCCTACTCCTCCCCCTTTCCCTGGAAACCGAGGTGCTGCCTTCGGAGGAGGCTCCTTACGCCAGACACCCTCAAGCTCCTCATCACCCTTCTCCAACAGGCCTCCACTTCCCCCTACCCCAAGCAGGGCCTTAGATGACAAGCCCCCTCCTCCACCTCCTCCAGTGGGCAACAGGCCCTCCCTCCACAGAGAAACCGGTCCACCTCCTCCTCCTCAGAACAACAAGCCTCCAGTGCCTTCCACCCCACGGCCTTCCTCCTCCTCACAGGCCCCACCTCCTCCACCACCACCTAGCAGGCCTGGCCCTCCTCCCATGCCTCCGGGTTCCAGTGGCAATGATGAAATCCCAAGGCTTCCACAGCGGAATTTGTCCCTCACTGCATCGACACCACCCGTACCTTCACCAGGACGTTCAGGCCCTCTTCCACCTCCACCTAGTGAGAGACCCCCTCCTCCAGTGAGGGACCCACCAGGCAGATCAGGTATGGCAAGACGTGGATGAGTTGACTCCCTAAAACCCAGCCCACCCAGATGTCACTAATAATGATATAAATGTGTCAAACAAAAGCAGAAGTGCACTCTAAGAATGCTTTATACTTCTGACTGACACCTGTTGTTGTTATGTGCCGTTGAGTCAGACCCGACTCATAGCGACCCCTCCTTGGGTTTCTGAGGCAGTATCACTACGGAAGTAGATTGCCCCATCTTCCTTCCGAGGAGTGACTGATGGGTTTGAACTGCCAGCCTTCTAGTTAGCAGTCAAGTGCCTTAGGCACTACACTATCAGCGCTCCTGACTGACACCTAGTATGTGTGATTTTATCTTGACCCCATGTAAACCTCTGAGGAAAAAAAACCCACTGCTGTCAAGTTGGATCTGACTTGTAGCAACCCCTCCTTGGGTTTCTGAGCTAGTGTCACTGTCACTATGGAAGTAAATTGCCCAGTCTTCCTTCCAAGGAATGGCTGGTGAGTTTGAACCACCAGTCTTCTGGTTAGCAGTCAAATGCCTTAAGCACTACATCACCAAGGGGGACCAATATTTCTGGCCATGTTTTAGAGATGAGGAGACTGAGTAACCAATACAATTAATTGGCTGCAAGCTGGTTCATAAAGAAGAGCCTAGAACTCTGCTCTGCCATCTCTGCAGTATGTCCCCCATTGGACTACCCTGACTTCTTCACATGAGTTTCAGCTGTCTCAATTGAGGAAATACATTTCCATATCCCACAGGAGGGCTCCGCTATTCAAAGAGAAGGTAGTTTTTTAAGAACTAATGAACTTCTTTTGTACTTCTTTCTTCATCTGTCAAGCTAGGGTCTCTATGAGTTGGAATGGACTCCATGGCAATAGGTTTGGTGTTTGTTTATTTTCCCAATTCATTAAGAACAAATATTAGAAAGAGTTCATTTTGCTATTTGTTAATAACTCTGGCACATAGATCCCTTGGAGAATCAAATAAAGATAGTGACCTTCTCTATTAAAAAATCTCATAAGCATAAAGTCAAAGTTTGCATGCTGTAGCATGGGTTGAAGGGCCTGCTGAAGCCTATGTGTGCCCCGCCTCAAGGATTGAGAAAGCTGGGGAGCTTTCAGAGTATGAAATGTATAGACTCCCTAGAATTTGTGGGCTGTGTGTTGACTTTTAGTGGTTATTGATGGATTCAGCAGAACCATCTACTTTTCTTATTTTACCTTGATACAAGATGTCTGCCAATGAGGTATTTTTCTCTTTAGGAGAATTTAACTTGCCTTTGACCCTATGACCTCAGGATCCTAATCAACACCATTGGCTTTTAAAGCCGTGGATGTCTGGATCCCTTCCCCAGGTTTTAGGTTTAGTTGCTCTGGGGTGCCGACTGGACATCAGAATGTTTGAAAGCTCCCCAATGACTGTAATTGTGCCACAGAGTTTTAAGAACCACTCCTGTAAACTATTCTTCCACTGGGAGTTGACTACAAATATGAAAAGTGTACTAGTGCATTAAAAGCCTTCTGAAGTCTTCCAGCCCCTAGATAGAGTATCATCTCATTAAGTATTTTCAGTGAACTAAAGAGAACAAGTAGTCAGATGAGTGAAATAATCACATTTCCTTCTTCTCCAATGGTTATGGGTTTTCCTTCATGATGGAGTGTTTGAGGAGCTGTCTGCATGGCTTTATCAAACAGATGGAGCAGTAAATTACATCTTTCCCAAAACGTAACAGGCAGTGACATATTTGTAAAATTTATTGTTTCTTTCAATGACCTAAATCATACCTGTTTATTTTAAAAAATACAGAAAAGTATAAAGAAAATAAAAGTCATCTATAATCCTATCCTACCATATCTAGAAATAGTCATTGATAACATTTTTGTTGCATATCATTTCAGTCTTGTTGAAATGCATATATGCATACTTTCACATAATTGATAGCATGCTACATATATTGTTTGATAATGATTTTATTTTAAAATATTTTTAAGTAATTCATTATCATTCTTTGATATGATTAGCTGTTTCTCTACAATGTAACTTTTAATGGGTGCATAGTATTAGATCCTAGAAATGCACCTTGATTTATCTGACCAGTCCCTTCACTTGATCATCTGGGCCATCTCTAGATTTTTGCTCTTGCTGATAATGCAGTGATGCATCCTCATACCTGACTGTCTGAGTACAACTCTATGTATTTTTTAGGAGATGAATTCCTAGAACTGGAATTTCTAGGTCAATGGGTATATGTCAGTGGGTATGTGTAAACTATGGAATTTAGTAGGTACTGCCAAATTGCCCTCCAGAAAATTCTGAACAATTTACATTCCCATGAGGAGTATATGAGGAGTTATCAGGACTATCTGTGTTCTGAGCAAGGATTTAGCTTCATTGTTAAAATCTTTTAGGATTTGACAGATTTGCAGTCAAATCTGGCTCTTCCAATTATTAGTCTCTAGACTTGACTATTTAACCTTCTAAAACTTCTGTGGCCTCATCTTGAGAAAGAGCTTAATGCTGCCCCTATACCTCTTAGGAGAGTTGTAAGAATTAAACTAGACAAGTATGTATAGTGGTTATCTTACTTCCCATCATGTCATTACGTTCAAGAAATGGTAATTTTAATTATTTTGTCAGAGGGAAATAGGAACCTGTTTCCTTTTCTATTTTGCTGGCCTAGGTTTGGGCAGAAGGTTGGAGTTAGGAACATGAACATTTACCTTGAAAAAAAAAATCAAGTTACAAAGGTACAGGCTCCATAATAGTAGGAAGTCTAGTTTGCACTTAGTGACCATTTGTCATTTGCCATCGAGGCGGACCCCACTCATAGCGACCCCTCCTTGGATTTCCGAGGCAGCATCACTACAGAAGTAGATTGCCCAACCTTCCTTCCGAAGAGTGGCTGGTGGGTTTGAACTGCCAGCCTTC